GAGTCGAATGATCCCACGGGTATATATCTCAGCCAACTTGTCCAGAGACATCTTCATCGAAACGGGTAAGAAATGTGCAACCTTAGTCAGTCTGTCGACCACGACCCAGATCGCGTCGTGATGTTCAGACGACCTCGGTAATCCCGTAACGAAATCCATAGTAACTTCCTCCCACTTCCACCTCGGAATAGGTAGTGGTTGCAGGAGGCCAATTGGACTCTGATGCTCGGTTTTGACTTGCTGACAGGTAAGACACCTCCTGACGAACTCTGCGACGTCCTTCTTCAAGCCTCGCCACCAGAACGACCCTTTCAGGTCGTGATACATCTTCGTGCTCCCGGGATGGGCCAAGTAAGGTGCGGTATGTGCCTCTGATAGAATCTCCTTCTGCAACGCCTCGACCTTCGGGACCACGATCCTGCCTCTGAACTCCAAGGCACCATCGGCGCCTAGCTGAAAATCCTGGACACCTCCGGCGCGAACCTTGGCCTCCATGACACGAACAAACTCGTCAGAAGTCTGCTCTCACCGGATTCTCTCTCTCAGTGTCAGCTGAAGCTGCATAGCACTGACACTGGCACTGGTACTTCCCGAGACAGCTATGGGAAGTGCATCAATCGCCTGAAGCTGCATCCGGGCAAACTCATGAATCAACGGACTCTGCTGCGTAATGACGTACGTCAAGTCACCCTTCACCTTTCGGCTTAGGGCATCCGCGACGACGTTCGCCTTTCCCGGATGGTACTGGATAGAACAATCACAATCCTTGACAAGCTCAAGCCAACGGCGCTACCTCATATTAAGCTCCTTTTGCGTGAAGATATACTGCAGGCTCTTATGGTCTGTGAAAATCTCGCAACGTCCGCCATAAAGATAATGATGCCAGATCTTCAGGGCATGAACGACTGCGGCTAACTCCAAGTCGTGCGTAGGATAATTCTGCTCAGGAGGCTTAAGCTGACGTGAAGCATACGCAACGACCTGTCCGTCCTGCATAAGGACACATCCCAAGCCCTGTCTCGAAGCATCGCTAAAGATAGTGAAACTCCGAGAAGGATCGGGGATAGTCAACACCGGTGCTGAAGTTAGTCTCCTCTTGAGCTCCTGAAAGCTCGCCTCACATCGATCAGTCCATTCGAACTTCACAGACTTCCTCGTCAGCTGGGAAAGAGGGAGGGCAATCTTGGAGAAGCCCTCGATGAACCTGCGATAGTAACCAGCTAACCCGAGAAAACTGCGAACCTCAGATGGACTCCTCGGTGTCGACCAGTTCTGAACGGCTGAAACCTTAGAAGGATCCACCTCGATGCCTGCCTGAGTAATCACATGACCCAGAAAGGATACTCGCTGGAGCCAGAACTCGCATTTTGAGAATTTGGCGTACAACTTCTCTCGTCTGAGGGTTTCGAGAACCACCCTCAGATGCTCCTCGTGCTCCTTCTGGCTCTTCGAGTAGATAAGGATATCGTCAATAAAGACAATAACGAACTGATCGAGGTAGGGATGAAAGATACGGTTCATGAGATCCATGAAAACATCTGGCGCATTGCTGAGACCGAAAGGCATGACAACGAACTCGTAATGGCCGTAACGAGTCCTGAAAGCGGTCTTAGCGATGTCTGACTCCTTGATCTTCAGCTGGTGGTAGCCTGATCGTAAATCGATCTTCGAGAACACACAGGCTCCCCTCAGCTGATCAAATAAGTCGTCGATTCTGGGAAGCGGATACTTATTCTTGATCGTCAACCGGTTAAGATCCCGGTAGTCGATACACATGCGCATAGATCCGTCCTTTTTCTTAACAAAGAGAACGGGTGCTCCCCAAGGTGACACGCTCGGTCGGATGAAACCGAGTCGTAACAGCTCCTGAATCTGAGTCTTAAGCTCCTGTAACTCCTTAGGTGCCATGCGATATGGGGCTTTGGATACTGGACCGGCCCCTGGGATAAGATCGATAGAAAACTCCACCTGACGATTGGGCGGTCCTCCTGGAAGCTCATCTGGGAATACGTCCACAAACTCGCGAACGATTGGAACATCATGAGGTGTTCGCGCCTTCTGAGAATCATCAATAAGGCTCACCAGATAAC